AAAAAAAAAAAAAAAAAAAAAAGAGAGAGTGTTAAAGGCATTTAGAAAGGTGAGTAGGTGCAATAGTTAAGTATATGCTTTGCAATTACTGTCAGAATATAATTTGACACTTAACTGTTCTTTTGTATAGTCATAGAGAAGAAATAATCAAATGGCTTAGTCTTAATAAAAGATCATTCATATTTCAGATCACTAAATCAGATTTTCTGTTGCTGTAAAACTTTTTCTAGACAGATGCCTGGGTTTTGAACTAGGGCTGGATAGATAGAAACTGAAGACAAATGGATTAAAATAATCAATGATAGGAAACAGATGTGAAAGTTCCCAGAAAAATTGGTGTGAGTTGATGTTTATTTATTCCCAGATGAATCAGTATATTTGCTTCAGTTGTCTTTATATTGTACTCATGCTGCCATACAAATTATTAATATTTGTATTATCACAACATGATTAAATTTTGAGTTTTACAAACAATGCCCCCTGTTAGGAAGTATAGAATATTCAAGAATACCATGCTACAGAACGTAATTTTATCTATTGATTCCAGTGTAGTATATGTTCATAGGACTTGGAAACTAGAGTAAAGAGCTACAATAAAGAGATTAATCACTAAAAGATAATTTTTAAGAAGAGGAAGTTGTAAGTAAACCTGCTAGAGTAAGTAAGGATATGGTTATGAAAAATACTGAAATCAAAGAATGAGCACCAACAAATATTTATACCATTCTCTCATTAGGTGACACTGGTCTCAGAAATTTAAATTCACTCGTCCTTATATCCATGGTTCTGCTTTCCATGGTTTCAGTTACTCATAGTCAAACTCAGTCAGAAAATATTAAATGTAAAATAGCAGAAATAAACAATTCATACATTTAAAATTGCATGCTGTTCTGAGTAGCATGATGAAATTTTGCACTGTCCCTGGTAGGTGACTCATTCCTTGTCCAATGTATCCATGCTGTCTATGCTACCTGCCTGTTAGTCACTTAGTAACTGACACAGTTATCAGATCGATTGTCATAGTATCATAGTGCTTGTGTTCAAATAAAACCTTATTTTACTTAACAGTGACCCCAAATGCCAGAATAGTGATGCCAGTATATTGTTATAATTGTTTTGTTTTATTATTAGTTATTGTTAATCTCTTACTGTGCCTAAATTATAAATTAAACTTTAATGTAGGTATGTGTGTAGAGGGAAAAACATAGTACATATAGAGTTTGGTAGTATCTCCAGTTTCAGGCATCCACTGGGGATCTTGGAACGTATGCCTCGAGGATAATGGGCACTAGGGACTACTGTAAAATTTGTATCATAGGTTATAGCAAACATGCAGCAAAGTGTGCAAAACAATGCATCTTAATGATGTATTATAAAGAAAATACTTGAAAACTATGGAGGAACATTTTCAACCCATAGAAACCAACTGACTGTCCTTTCCCAGTTATAGCCTCTTCCTTCCCACCTAAAGGTAACCACTCTTCTGACTTTAATTTTTATTTTCATTTTTGGTCTATACTTTCCCTTTATTGCTGGCTTTATAAATGAATTACAAGGTGGTACTTCTTTTTTCATTCTCTGATATAATTTGTATAAAATTAGATTTCTGCTGAAATGAGTAGTAAAATTTGCTAGTAAAGCCATCTGATTCTGGAGTTTTCTTTGTGAGAAGATTTTGAATAGCAAATTCATCCCTCCCTTCCTCCCTCATGGGCTCAGGCAATCCTCTCACTTTGGCCTCCCAAAGTGCTGGGATTATAGGCATGAGCCCCCATACCCGGCCCAAAACATGTTTTAGTTCTTGACTTTATTTTTCACATCTCTTATATCATTTTTAGTTTCTAATTCTCTGACAAATTTTCATTTTTATTTATTAATTTTTTTTGAGTTGGAGTCTCACTCCGTCACCCAGGCTAGAGTGCCGTGACACACTCACAGTCACTGCAGCCTTGACTTGCTGGGCTCGGGTGTTCCTTCCTCCTCAGCCTTCCAAGTAACTGGAACCACAGGTGTGCACCACTACACCCGGCTAATGTTTTGATTTATTGTAGAGACGAAGTCTTGCCAAGTTGCCTGGACTGGTCTCAAACCCCTGGACTCAGACAATTCTCTCACCTCGGCCTCCCAAAGTGCTGGAATTACAGGCGTGAACCACTGCTCCTGACTAGACAAATTTTTAAATATAGTCGTGTATTTCTTTGAAAATAGTTTAAGGTAGTTATATTAAACTCTTTCTCTGACAATTCCAGTATCTGAAACTTCTGTGTATCTTTCTGTTATCCATTTTCTCTTACATGTTCACATAATCTTGCTTTCTCTTGTGCCTGGTTTTTGATGTGCCAGATGTTTTGTTTGAAAAGTCATAAAGAAATTTGAAACCTTGAATAATATTATCTGCCTCTAGATAGGATTTTCTTTGCTCTTAGATGCCTGGGAGAAGTAATAGCTGTCCAGGAGTACCTTAATCCAGTATCAGGAATTGGGTATTCTTCTGAACCACGCAGATGACTTGAAACCAGGCTGCAGTTCGTGACACTGTGGCTTATTTCTAGTCTTCCCTTACTTTGCGGATGGAGCCTTTCATGGTCCCAGTCCAGTTCTGGTGGTTTTAGCAGGGCTGTCACTCTTGGAAGGCCTTGGGCTCCAACTTTTGTCACTCTGGGTTTGTAAAACTGACAAAAAGGCTGGACAGCTTCTTAACCATCCAATTGAGAATTGGCAAATCCCCCTATAATAAAAGAAGCCCCAATATAATTTCTCTGGGTTTTGTCTTTGGACTGTGCTGGTAAGTGTTTACCCTTTAGTAATTCTCTGATGCATTCCATTTGATATTTTAAAATATTTTGCTTAGCATTTCTAGTAGTGTGGGAGAGTGGGTCTGAATTCCCAGTCTCCTGTACTAGGAGAAGCCTGTAAATACTTTGGCGTCAGGGTCTCCCTCTGTCACTCAGACTGGAGCACAGGGACAAAGTCACGGCTCGCTGCAGCCCTGAACTCCTGTGCTCAAACAACCCTCCGTCCTCAGTCTCCTGAGTAGCTGGGGCCAAAGGTCTTGTAGCTCTGGGTTTTGTTTTTTTCTAATACCTTCTCTAGAAATTTCATATAAATAGAATCGCACAATATTTTGTTTTTTGTGACTGGTTTCTTTCACTTGGCATAAAGTATCTGAGGTTCATCCATGTTGTTCCATGTGCTTAATAGTTAATTCTTCTTTATCACTAAGTAGTGTTCCATTAAAGGGATATACCACAATTTATTCATTCACCTCTCTAGATTGTTGCAAGTTTTTCGCGACTGTGACCAATACTGCTATAAACACTTGTATGCAAAATCTTTTGACATACTTTCATCATTCTAGGATAGAACATATGGACATATGTTTTCATGGTTCTTGGGTAGACACCTAGGAATAGAATTGATGGGACATGAGGTAAACGTATGTTAAACTGCAAAACTGTTTCCCAAAGTATCTATACCATTTTACATACCCAGCAGTAATGCATGCAGTTTCTTTACATCCTTGCTAATACTTGATATTGTCAGTCTTTGTGAGTATAACCATTCTAGTAGGTGTAAAATACTATGATACTGTGGTTTAAATTTTTATTTTCCTAAGCTGGGTGCAGTGGCTCACACAGGTAATCCCAGCACTTTGGGAAGCCGAGGCAAGAGGATTGCTTGAGCCCAGAACTCAGTCGACACAGCAAGACCTTGTGTCTATAAAACAAAAGGAGCTGGATGTGGTAGCATGTGTCTGTAGTCCTAGCTACTCAGGAGGCTGAGGCAAAAGGATCACCTGAGCCCAGGAGGTTGGGGCTGCAATGAGCCGTGATTGTGCCACTGACCTGCACTTCAGTCTGGGTGACAGAGTGAGACCCCAACTCAAAAAATTTAAAAAGCTAGAAATGATTAAGCTTAGTGAGGAAGGCATGTCAAAAGCTGAGATAGACTGAAAACTAGGGAGGCCTCTTGCACCAAGTTGCCAAGTCATAAACGCAAAGGAAAAGTTCTTGAAGGAAATTAAAAGTGCTATTCTAGTGAACACACAAATAATAAGAAAACGAAATAGCCTTATTACTGACATGGAGAGAGTTGTAGTGGTCTGGGTAGAAGCTCAAACCAGCTACAACATTCCTTTTAAGCCAAAGCCTAATCCAGAAAAGGCCCAACTATCTTCAGTTCTGTGAAGGCCAAGAGAGGTGAGGAAGCAACAGAAGAAAAGTTGGAAGGTAGCAGAGGTTGGTTCACGAGGTTTAAGGAAAGGAGCCATCTCTGTAACATAAAGTGCAAGGTGAAGCAGCAAGTGATCGGAAGATCTAGCTAAGATCATTGATGAAGGTAGTGTGGCGTGGGCAGGTGTGTTGTCATGGTGGAAGAACCAGTCACCTGTTTGCCACAACGTAGGATGTTTCTTCCACAAATTGTGACACAATCTTTTCCAAACTTCCGGATAAAAACCTTGGTTGACCATCTATGTTTATTTTTCACATCTCTTATATCATTTTTAGTTTCTAATTCTCTGACAAATTTTTATTTTTATTTATTTATTTATTTTTGAGTTGGAGT